GTTTTCCTGATTGTAGCCTTATTACTAGGTCCCGTTAAGCTATTGTTATGATATGACCGAACTTGATCAATGATAATTCAACAATCAATATTGTGTTGCACCTTTAACCAATTGCCTAACAACTGAACAACTGTTACAAACAAAGACTTAACTTTTGATTGTCTTTATTAAGACATCCTCTATATCAAATTTCAGCCAGAACGCCCAGCCAACCCGAGCCGCCTGCACGCCCGACCCCCACCTGTCTAGTAGATAATTCAACTGTCTCCCCAACACAACTTCCTTCCCATCTTTTTTATTAATTTTTTTGTCTTAAGGGAAAGGTTTGGCCGGCCGCCCAACAACCTGCCCGCTTGACCCTATCCTCTCCTCTTTTCTCCAGACCATTTCCGGAGACCTTCTCCCTTACCTCACCTCGCTCATCAACTCATCCTTGACCGCTGGCTATGTCCCTTCTGTCTTCAAGAGAGCGAGAGTTGCACCCCTTCTCAAAAAACCTACACTCGATCCCTTCTTTCTTTTCTCTCCAAAACTCTTGAGCGTGCCGTCTTTAGCCAACTCTCTTGCTATCTCTCTCAGAATGACCTTCTTGATCCAAACAAGTCAGGTTTCAAGACTGGTCATTCAACTGAGACTGCTCTTCTCTGTGTCACGGAGGCTCTCCGCACTGCTAAAGCTAACTCTCTCTCCTCTGCTCTTGTCCTTCTAGACCTATCTGCTGCCTTTGATACTGTGAACCATCAGATCCTCCTCTCCACCCTCTCCGAGTTGGGCATCTCCGGCGCGGCTCACTCTTGGATTGCATCCTACCTAACAGGTCGCTCCTACCAGGTGGTGTGGTGAGAATCTGTCTCTGCACCACGTGCTCTCACCACTGGTGTCCCCCAGGGCTCAGTTCTAGGCCCTCTCCTATTGTCGCTATACACCAAGTCACTTGGCTCTGTCATTTCCTCACATGGCCTTTCCTATCATTGCTACGCAGACGACACACAATTAATCTTCTCCTTTCCCCCTTCTGATAACCAGGTGGTGAATCGCATCTCTGCATGTCTGGCAGACATATCAGTGTGGATGACGGATCACCACCTCAAGCTGAACCTCGACAAGACGGAGCTGCTCTTCCTCCCGGGGAAGGACTGCCCGTTCCATGATCTCGCCATCACGGTTGACAACTCCGTTGTGT